GTGTGTGTGTGTGTGTGTGTGTGTGTGTGTGTGTGTGTGTGTGTGTGGCTTTAAAAGAAGATGTTCAAAATCTGCTGTGCTAAGAGTCTCCTGTCGGAACAAAGGAAAGGAAGCCTGTCCAGGTCCGAGTTTCCAGATGTGCTTCCGCACCTACCTCCCGTCTCTGCAGAGCAGGTGGCGCCTGCCCACAGCTCCCAGCCTTAAAGAGCCGGTTTCCCCTGTGTTCCCGAGTGAGGGGAAAGGAAACGGCGGAACAGAACACTGAGTTGTGAACAAGACCCAGTCTTCCTAGCGAGGCCATCTTTATCCCGGGTGTAAGTGGTCAGGCCGACTCCGGGAGCCCGAGGTTTTCAGTGTAAAACCCTCTCTGTCCTCAGCTGAGCACAGACGAAAATAACATGGTGAACTATCCCAACCTGATGTGTGCTTGAGAGAGTGTAACTTTAAGAGAACTTAAAAGTAACTTTTTTTTCGTAAGACTTCCAATTAAAATTTTTTTCTCAGCTGTTTGTGTTGGCACAGGCCTTTAATCCCAGCACTCAGGGAGGCAGAGGCAGGTGGAGCTCTGTAAATTCAAGGCCAGCCTGGTCCACAGAGTCCAGGACAGCCAAGACGACACAGAGAAATCCTGACCGAAAAAGTTTTTTTCTCAAAAAAAAAAAAAATTAATATATATATATATATATATATATATATATATATATATATATATATATATATATATATATATATTCAGATTTTTTTAATTCATGCAAGTTTAAATAAAACTCTACACCACCCCAAAATTGCAAAAGGACTGCCCCTTGAGAGGACGTCTGTAAAATGTCATCAGGAGCGAAGCTCTCCAGGCTGATGTTGCGCGCTTCATTCCTAGACTTTGTAACATGAGGCTGGCCGTCTCTCAGGGCGGCCACCATTACATTTCACATTTCTATGGGGGATTATTTAATGAAAAACATGCTATGTTTTATTTTAAGCTGAAGGCCTATTCTGGAAAGTTCAACTTTGGGAAAAATGTTATCATTTCATTTCCTTTCTGTAAGTTACAACTAATGAAGTGTGCTCACGTTGGAGCAGACAGGAGATGGTCTGGTCTGCACGGCAATTGTTAAGGTGTTCTCGCTTACGAAGACATGACGCCCCATTGTCCTGAAAGAGACGAGATGGCCTTGAAGCAGAAGCTGCGTTTCCCGTGAGCTGGCTTTGCCTCACACAAACCAAAGACTCAGACTCCACGCTGTGGAGGGCATTCTGCCCTGGAGGCTGCACGGCCACCACTGTGCCTGCGCGCGGGGCTGTTTACAGGCTCAGCACCTGAGGTCTCCAGGAGCTGCGTAAGCCTTACGGACGCTGCGTGTGCCTCAGGCAGGTCATCTCCCCAGGCGCTGGAAGGTGCACGGTGTTTTGCTCAGCTGAAGCGAGGAGGGAGCCGTGACAGTGAGGGAACTGCAGGCGTGTGCAGTGACGTGACCTGTGGTGAGAGCAGTGTCACACCCGGTGAGGCACCTTGGACTCTGGGGTCGCCCCCCCCCCCAGCACAGTGTGGGAGTGCCCTGGCCCCACCCACCTGGCACTTGCTGGGTGCGAGAGGGGGACTTCCGGGCCCTGCTTCCCTCCCAGCCGGAAGTGGGCCACCCTCATTCCTGGCTCATCACTATGCATCTTTGAAGTAAACAAAAATGTAAACCTTTACTATTTCTTATTTTTTAGGTTTTCAAAGAATCCTCTCTGAAAAGAATTACTTTAAACCAATGCCTATAAAGCAAGTCTACCAAAATAAACTTCTAGGATTTTCACTGTGACCTAGGCTCATTCTTGTTTTCTTATTTATTACGTCATTACATTACACTGTAATCAGTACCTCTTGATCACACTGTTTTTATTTAATAGTTTGATACTTTTATCAGAAGGATCATGTGTAAGAATTCAGGAATCTGGTGTTTTTTGAGTTTTTATGTATTTTAGCCAGAAAGGAAATCTTACTGGTGCAAAGAAGAAATGGTCACACAGGCCCAAAGGACAAACAGTTTGGTTTTGGTTTGTTTTTCAAGGCAGGGTGTCTCTGTGTAGCCCTGGCTGTCCTGGACTCACTCTATAGACCAGGCTGGCCTCGAACCCGGGGATCCACCTGTCTTGCCTCCCAAGCACTGGGATTAAAGGCATGCGCCACCATGCCCAGCCAATCAAATCTTTTAACTGAACGGAGAGGGAGATTTAAAGTGGACACCTCAGCTCTGTTCTTAGAGGGTTTCTCTTCTGTGAAAGCTGCTCGACCTTGATTAAAGCTATTTTTCCCCTGAGATTTTAACATCATACATCCTGCCAGGGTTTGGATCAGCTTGAGGCTGTGCTGTCAGTGAGCACAGGCTTGTACTGTGGTGACCTCCGGCCTCCTCTGTAGCTGAGCACACACTGCCAGTCTCCAGACTTTTCAAGCCAGAAGTCTTTCTCCTCCTGCTTCATCTGTAGCGACTCCCACACTCTACACTACCTGCGGTTCTAATAGATTAAAACATGGATAGATTTTACCTGTGTAGGCTGTTAGACAAACACACAGCTCACGTGCTCCCACGCCACATGCACACACACCTTTAGGGTACAGGAGAGGGAGGCCTGGCCTACTAGACTTGTGAAGGATGAGAGGCAGGATGGGGAAACAGGCCCGCCCACCCTTCCCTCCTGTTTCTGCAGAGCGAATGGAAGGGCTTTCCCAGAGCATAAAGGAGTTTCTGCCCCTGGGCACCGGGTGCCGCCTGAGGCTTGACCTGGACTTAGGCTTCCAGCCCATTTGATCTGGCATTTTTGTCAACATGGTGGCCTTAGGTAGGGCCTGCTCTGATTGCTTTTCCTTTGTGAAAGAGGGGCAGCATTATGAGCACACTTCCTCCCTGTCAGAGCTTCACAGAGTTGATAACCGATCTTGAGGATGACAGTGTTGGGTTGCCATGGTAACTGCTTGGCAACTTTGTCTGCATCCATAACCTCTGGAAGCCCATTCAGCTCTGCCAGGAACCTTCCTTCCTGTTTTAGGCTGTGACAAGTGGTGCTGTTTGCTCAAATAAGGACATGTTTACTAATGTGCATTTTAGGTTTTAGGAACACACAGCTCCTTGTTTACATTGTCATCTGTAAATCTGTCCCTGGGTCATCTCCCTCTCTGTAAGCTTCCCTGCTGACCTGCTCCTCCGTGGGTACAGGTTGACATAAAAGCACCTAAGTGGTGCTTTACTGAAAAAATGTTGGTGCTAACACCCACAAATCAAACGTGGACCTTCCACGAACTGTGGCTTAATTGTGGCACTCATGAGCACAAAAGATGGCACCTTGGCTTGTCGCCACGTGCAGACACGGGTCGTCTAGTGAGGCATTCTGGGTGCAGGCGAGGGGTGTGAGCAGCCTTCCACATGGACTCCTGTCCTTGCCTTGCCAGTGCTGTAGAGAAGAAGCAGGCCCCTCCCTGAGTGACTCGGGAGGCTCGCCCACGCTCACACTTTGAGAGTTCCCGATGCCACTAATTCTATAAGGATTAATTTTAAAAAAGTGGAACTTTCCGTACAGGTGGGGAGAGTTCCCAAAGTAAAGAGTTTAGGTGTGTGTGTGTGTGTGTGTGTGTGTGTTTTCAGGCAGGATTTCTCTGTATAGTCTTGGCTGTCTGAGGAACTCAGAGAGGTCCTCCTGCCTCTGCCTCCCAAGTGCTGGGATTAAAAGTGTGATCCACCACTGCCAGGCCCACATAAAATATGTATGTGTATGTATTCTGCTATGTATAGAAATTGAAAGGTGGCAATCAAAGCAGATGCTTGTCAAGGCAGATGTCCAGGTCAGAGCCATGATAAAATTTTTGAATAGTGATTTTTTTTTCTGTCCATATGTGGGTTCAAACCAGCATCTTATGCCTGTCCCACAAGTGCTGGGCCACCGAGGCTCATCCCCAGCCCCAAATATTGACCCGGAAGAAAAATGCATACACCCATCAATAAATCATAAATGTGAAACAAAAGTAATGGAAGTTTATTTTTAAACACTGCTGGTGCGTTTATAAAAAGGGTCTCCGTTCGCCTGTCACACGACATGTTTCGCACGAAGCTCTCCCTATGTAGAAAACGCTTACACATACACGCCCTGGCCGTTACATCCCTTAGGCATGTTTTTCCTCCACAAGGCGCGGTCCCTGCAGGCTTCCGTATTGCACGTGCAGTTTGGCGTTGGTAGTTCCTGCGGAACAGGAGCGTAGGACCGGCAGATCTGTGCGGGCCGGAGGGGCATGGCCAGGGCATCACGCTGGACGGGTCGTCCTCCTAACGTGCCTGCTGTATAGATCTCTCTCTCTCTCTCTTTTGCATTTAATGCCTACTCCGCATATTTTGAAGGTGCAGCTTGCGGGTGTCAGCAAGAGTTCCTAAGGGCTGGGAAAGCGAGCTGGCCGACGTGCTTCTGAAGCACCCCCAGGCCCACGCACGCACACGGTAGGCGTGCGCGTTCGCCTCCTTAGCCTTTTTACGTTGGTTTTATGTTGGTTTTTACGTTTTTAAAAGGATTATATTTTAAAAGGAGGTGCATGAGTGAGTTCAAAGGCGGCAGAAACGGCTGTCTGCTCGCGGGACTTACGAGGGCAACATTTAGCAAGAGTCCAAAAGGACGCAGAAGGGACTTCCGCGCCGCCCCTGCCCTCTGGAACAGCGGACCGCGGCGCGGGGTGGGGGTGGGGGCTTAAAGTGTCATCCTAGGCCTTGAGTTCCCCCTGTTGGGCCTCAGCTTGGTTGACCTCGTGGTGAGGACACCAGGATTTCTGGAAGCCGTGGAGCCTGGGGCCAGGCTGGCCTCCGGACGTGGCGAGGATGGGCGGGCCCTCTCCCCGTCCCTCTGCGCGGCGGGAGGTAAAAATCTAACAGTTGGCTGGCTGCGGAGCTGTATTAAAATAGTTGTCTCTGTATAAATTAATTTATATCGTGCATATACAGTTCGCCCCTCCGTCGGCGGGACC